AAATTTAATCATGTAACCATAAAGAAACTTCCTGTAGGAATATATTAAATTTTTTCGTGCCAGTCTTGGGATACAGAAAGGGGTTAACCGTCTCTACCCACACCCGGACTCACATCTCTCTAATCGTATTCAAAATTATATTATATATATATATATATATATATATATATATATATATATATATATATATATATATATATATATATATATATATATATATATATATATATATATATATATATATATATAGATAGATAGATAGATAGATAGATATAGATATATATATAGATATATATATATCTATATATATATATATCTATATATAGATATATCTATATATATATATATATATATATATATATATATATATATATATATATATATATATATATAGAGGTTTACAAACGCAAATGTAGAGGTTTACAAACGCAACGTTTTTGTGTTTATTTGTTTGTCGTAGCTATGTTTTGTATTTGCCTTTGAAAAAGACTCATTAAGAGTCGAAAGCGCTTAGGCTAGTTAGTTACTAGTTTCGTACTGTTCGTCGTCAGTTTATTGCATCTATATATATATATATATATATATATATATATATATATATATATATATATATATATATATATATATATAATTATCTCTATGTTAAGCAAACCCATTCCTTCGAATATTTTTTATTTCATGCGCTTATTTCCTACCACTAAATTTTGTTTATTCGAAGATATTTGAATTTACTTAGCTTTCCATTATGCAGGGTCCTATTTCAACAGCACTTAATGCAGCTGCAAAAGGTAAGCCAACATTTTCTACTATCTACAGGCTATTTCAGGCCCTTGTGCTCAAGTATAACTCGGATGCAACAAAAATACATAAATCCAGATCTATCGTCTCATAATACATCGCCAGAGCTGGGTCTATCCAGTGTAATCCGTTGAACAATATATAGTCTATCTTATTTATAGTTGCATCCGACTCAACCGCGGATCTATTCAGTAAATATATCATTCTGCAGTACCTATCACAAACTTTATAACACGATCTTCAAATAAATTTATTACCTACATTGATTGTCTGAATATATTATTGTGTTTTCAAGTGTGCTAATATTGCGAAACAATCGATATAGTCGTTTCTGTTGATAAAGGGATACATTCAAGTTGAAAGATCAGATAAGCTATTGGAGAAATATCATTGGCACCCTTTGTTTTCCGTAACATGATACATCTGTTGTGGGGTCGATATTAGAGATAGATCATGTGTTACACTCTTGTATGGAATAAAGATTTTAAAAAAATATGGCACTTTAACAACGTTGCAAAGGTAGCTATTCCGACCATGTTGACTTTGAATCTAAAACTTATGAGTGTGGTGAATTTAAAGCTTTTTCATTTTTCTTCGCCAAGTGGTCTGTGATATTACATCGATCCTTTCGAATGTATCTCCGATTGTATCTACGTACAAGATATTCCGCTATTCCTAGTACAATTTTGGTGATACCGACTTGAAACAAAGGAAATCAGTGAGTGATCTTTGTGCACCTGTTTTTTTTCGTATTAACTATTGAACTCTCGTCACCAGTGTATTCCCAATATCTATCTATAAACGTGTATATATATATATATATATATATATATATATATATATATATATATATATATATATATATATATATATATATATATATATATATATATATATATATATACATATATATATATATATACATATATATATATATATATATATATATATAATTCTATATATATATATATATATATATATATATATATATATATATATATATATATATATATATATATATATATATATATATATGGCACATTCAACATTTGATGTGCACAAACCCCTTCAAAATCCACATGGTTATCCATTAGTATTATTCATATTGTGGTTCGTTGTAATTGTACGGTATATACCTACCGTTTACAGACTACTCCATTGGATGTTTTAACCGTAAATTGTTATATATATATATATATATATATATATATATATATATATATATATATATATATATATATATATATATATATAACCAGTTTTGGGTTATAAAAAATTTAAATGTACACTTAAGACTTTTTTCTTGCACAGAGATTGGAGTGGGGACCGTTCTTTGCAGTGTTTTCATACAAACCTGTCAGATCAGATCCTTGCTGCATCAAACTGTTAAACATTAATTTATGCCAACCAGCGCTCCTATGGAAGGTGGCTTAGGGATGGTGCATCTTTTTGGACAGTATATTCAAATAAATGTGTCATTTTCTTTTATCTAGTAAGCCATGGTATAAATCGAGCAAGGTAGTGTATATTGCAGAAAGACAGTGTCTGCCTAACAATTCATTGGCTTTAAACATTAGTTGTAATATACAGTCAGATCTCGTTTAACAGACACAAATGTCATTTAAAGTCGGATAAAGGTCATCGTTGGTTAAAGGATTCCTATTGTTTGGCGTGATATAAAAGCAATGTTAAGATTAACGGACACCAGAAAACAAAAAAAGACTAGACTCTCTATGTACAAACCAATAGGAAATGTAGGATAACGGTTTGGAAACATTTTGGAGATTTTCTTAGAGATGCCTTGCTTCACGTCTATGGGTTCCATGTACGTAGATAAAAAAATGATTAACCAAAAACAAAATTATGCGAAGAGAAAAATGCAGATTATTGCTTGTCTCGATGAAGTAGCGACTTTTGATGACACGATACAGTTACAAAACAAAAATAAATTATTGATGTAATTGATGACACTATTGATGACGACTACAATAACAATACTATTACTACCACTACTACAGCCCTACAACACTATTACTACTGTTTCTGCTACTACTCCTAATAATAATACCACTACTACAATTATAGTCGGCATGGCTCAGTGGTTAAGGTGATGGACCCGTTACAAAAGGGTATATGCTTGATCAGCTCGGATAGGCAGTTTCGATGTGTCATTGATCAAGGTACTTTATACTACTTCCCTCGGCAAGATATATCTTTTTGTGGTGTCATTGAAGATGAAAACACGTTACTACTACTGCAGCTAAGGATAAAAGCGCTAAAGGCAAGTTCTTTTTGGTTAAATGTGATCTCTGCCTTGATCTAATCTGTGTTTCGACATGCACACAGGTAAACTTTTAATTTTATTTAATAATAGAAGCCTCATTCTCTTTCTCTAACTTTTTCCGTTAGCAACTGTCACTCTACCAAATGAAGTAGGACCCTCCAGCTGAGATCTTATTCAACAGTAAAAGACGACTATCAATATATTGCAACCAGTATTTACATAAATTATGTCAGTAATTTCCACTGTCGTTTCGACTTGAAAGAGGTGTCAACTTTTTCTTTTACATTTCGTACCTTCCTAATAGAAGTAAAGAACTCGTCTTTTTATGAGGCTCGCTGCTAATTACTGGCATAAAAAAGCAACAATATATTCCGTGTATTCCAGTAGACAGAGACTATTCGTGTTACATGAGCCCCAGGATTTATAACTTTTTATGCTCATTAATGAAGGACTTCCAAAAATGGGGTACGTATTCGGTTTTGATATTTTATTATTGTAGTCATGCACATTACGAATTTGATTTTTTTTGTAGTATAACAACTGTGGAAGAGTACTATAAAGAATTTTCAATTTATATTAATATTTTTGCACAATTGTGCCTTTGAGCTTTATTTGGAACAAAAGATCGTACTGTCTTTTTGTACAGACATTTTCTGTCATTGTGTTATCAACACTGCCCTGCATGGTTTTTAAAGGATTTGTTTTTCTGTTTATAATACTAATAAGTCTAAAATGTTGTAATGTGTTCATTTTATTTTGTTTAAAAAAAAATTCCCTCTTCACTTTGTATTGTGGAACAAATGCTAGAGTTGGGGAAGTTAACTACTATGATAAATATTATAGACATAGGTTGTTATAACCAAATGCCTCGTTTTTTTAAATGCTTCTTATTTCTTTATTGTCTTTCAAAAGTTTGCATATCACACACACACACACACACACACACACACACACACACACACACACACACACACACACCACATCATAACCTAGTGGCGCCACAAACAGATATCACAGAATGCGTCCTCACCTTGTGTGGCCACAGACAAACGACACAATAGAGTTATTGAACAGAATCTAAAACAATTTCGCTTTAACACAACGGTCGTCATCTTTTTCTTGCGCTTACTGGAGAAATAAAAACAAACCACACCACCCACCCACCCCCCGAAAAAAAAAACAACGTGAGAATGCACTGATCTACGTAAAGTGTTTATATACTAAACACAATGTGTAAAGGGTCTTTTAACAAATGGACTACAAAGAGATGGGTTGTCAGTCAAGTCAAGTACTTCTCCGGCGTTTGGCGCAAACAAAAGTAAGTCAGCGGTCTATCTAAAAAAACTAGTTTCAAAGGTGAAATTAGGTGTGTGAAAATAAGTATTGAATAGAAGTCATTCAAAACCATTTAGATCTAACATAATATACTACTTAAGTTCATTTCGAAATATGAAAGTGAATTTATACAGATCTTTAAATTATGACGTTTATAAAATCAACTTAGTACAGTTATATACAAACGGGGATTGAAATAAAAATGAATTCTTGACAAACGTGCTGTGAAGATCTAACATATAACTTAACGTTTTTAATAATACACGTGGTCGTTCTTTGAACTTCTAGAGTTTCTTTCCCATAGTACCTTAAACAATAAACACATTGACCTTGCTTTTCAGAACTAGGCCAGGTGTCTCTATCCGTATTATCAGGCCGTATAAAACACAATCTACCTTGATAAAATATGTGGGGAAATAAAATTGAATTGCTTACGTTGTCTTAGACACATATTCGTATTGGTATTTAGTTCTATCCAGTGCAGGATTATCTTAATAGCAAACGTTGCGTATGCTACGGGCCCAGCACTTCCAAGGGCTCCACTCTGAATGCTTTTAAGCTATCAATTACCTACAAATAGACCGCTCCGTGGCCCAGTGGTCAGAACATCCGCCTCGGATGCGGGAGGTCATGGGTTAGATCCCATGCCGAATCGTACCAAAAATTTATTTAAAAAATGGTATTAGCAGGTGCTTGGCTTCGTAATGTTAGAACTGGTCCGCCTGGTGTCAGGATAATGTGACTGGGTGGAAAATCATAATACATGTCTACAACCTGATGCCCCAGTGCTAGACATCACAATAAACTGCCACACTGCGGACATAGTAGCGATAGGACTGATTTTGTTTTAAAAGCTACGGTAAAAATCCAAAACACACACACACACACACACATGCGCGCGCGTAAATAATACAATTACTGAAATATCAGACATATTTGTCGTATAATCGGGTTGTATATCAATGAAAAAGTACAATTACCTTAGTATTCAAGTCAAACATTTACTTGTTTTAATATTTATGTAATTTTTCTTTTAGATTTAAGGCCTCCGTTGTAACATATGCTACAGGCCGCGCACCAGCTTAATCCGGCACTGGTCCTGGCATGTGCTGATTATTAAAGTTATGTGCACAAGTTTACAGAAACATAGAACTTTAGTATGGATACGTACGGTAACTCATTGACTTGTAGAAGTTAATTTCAAGTCAACAGAGTGTTTGCTCTTTCTGTCAAATCATAATATTACTGGTTTTTTTCGTGGTATCGATACTCTTCAACAATGTTTACTGGCGGATCTGGAAAACTAACTTCATAGTAATGAAACAGTTTAGTAATGGATGTTTGGTTTTCGTACCTGATTATATAGCTTACATACCGCCATTCATGCTAAGTGCTGCTAGCGATTTGTGATACAAAGCTGTAGATTTCTGCATTTTGTTGTCTGCGAGTGTTACCTAAGTGTATGTTACATATTTCAGGGATAGAAAAGGTAAGTACAATACAATTCATTTTCAGCCACTTTGAAAATAAAACATTTCACTAATAACCAACTTCCAAATCTTTCTTTCTTGAGTCGGTCAGAATTATCCTTATGAACCTTAAACCACGTCAGAGCCTTTTTAAGTATTGTAGCCTTGTAAATTTATTCTAATATTCTCGAAGAATGTTTCATTATTTGTTCAGGTTTATATGATATTTGCTTATTTATTTTAAACATGTTCTAATTTGTAATGTGAATTACTCTTGAAGACTCAGAAATTAATATGGATTAGTTAATGAAGTAATGGGAAATTCACAACATCGACAAGTAGTTATAAAGGTTTAAGAAGCTGTAGTATGCAAACACGAAACGAGCGCACTACCAATATGCTATCGAAACTCTTCATTCTGTTCTGTCACTACACTAAGATAATCAAATTTCATTGCAGTTTTTCTCTAATATTTCCTGGCGATTTACTGACCAGTGAAAAAAAAGTGCCGGATTACTAAATAGAGTAGGCACTGGCCTATGGGCCCTATGCCTTTTATAAAAATTGTTGGTGTTTGGTAAAATTAAAAATGTATTAGGAGATAATTTGCGGGGGGGGGGGGCTGGGGTAGATTTGGACTGCCTAGGAGCCTTCACAGGGTTTAAATCGGCACTTGTGAAAAACGTTGATTTCATTCAATTGAAGGCGGCATTAAATCCAACAGAAAATAACAATATTTACGGAGGCTTCTCTCTTATCTTTTTTCCTTGTATTACAAAGCGAATAGGTGTGATTGGACGGATCCGTAAAGTTTATTTGCATTAAAAAATATTATTTAATTTAAAGGAGACTAACTCAAGAAAATGCAATGTGCATATACTGATATTTTAATTTAAAAAGTGTGTGTGTGTGTGTGTGTGTGTGTGTGCCTAAGTTAATCCCTAACTCAAGTAAAACGATATTGATCTAAACATTGATGCACTGGATTTCATTTTTTCTTAAATGCAGAAAATGAAGGAAATATAACAGGAACTTAGTATAGTAATGCATGAAAGACACATGACTGGTATGATGAAATTAAGATTTCGATTTTCGGATAATAATGGATAGATACACCGAATGGCAAGCATAATTGATATATGCTGAAGCTAAACTGTTCCGATCTAAGGACTGGTAGTTTATTATGAGCCAAATTAAAATCTGGTAAACTTAAATATCATAATTGTGACAATAAAAATGAAAGTGTGATTATTCACATATGCCAATTTGTGTCCTTGGTTCTATCTTTTATATTCCCGTATAAATCGAGTCCAATTCTAAACAGACCCTAACTTGTCGGTACATTATGCGATCAGTGTAAATGTTTATTTTGCAGATTTGTCTTAATACGCTTGAAAAGGTGTAACAGGAGGAAAGCTGAGGATATGGGGGGGAGGTCTAGATGACTCATTTGACGATTTTTGGTGGTGATATAAGGGACTTTTTTAATTATAATATAGCATCCTGGCTGTATTATTAATACACAATATGGCATTTTTCTTAGTGCAGTGATTGTCTCTAGATGCAAAATGGTCCGATATTTTATTCTAAAGACTCTCTCTCTCTTTCACACACACACATGCACGCACACACAAACGTACATACATACACATACACATACACTTACGTGCGCGTATACCAGAACGTTTATTGAATCGGATATGTAATTTTAGAGTTTATATGTAATAAAAGTTTATAAGGCCACGTCAGAGTGCTAAGGCCAATGAAGGACTATATAGGTGGTAAATTAATATTGATATACCTATTTAGAGAGAAAGGTAACTTAATAATACCAATGCAGAGTTGTAGCGCTAAGTGTAAAATAAACAGACGAAAGAACGGTATGTGGAACCATTACATAATACATGCAAGTATGTTAGATTTTATAACGATTGATAGTTAGTTATACGCTATTTGCGGTAGAGAGATAATTAAGTATAATACATATATTAGTGTAATACATATATAGAATTAACACAAACCCTTTAAATTCGTAAGCCTCTACTTTAAATAATATTTGTAGGTAATAAAATAATGTTGAGAAAATTTCATCTTTGAATAAAACATTTCAAGGTAATTAAAAAAGATGTGTTTCCAGAAATAATTTATTTTTTATACCTGAAAATGTAAAGATATATTAACGAAAATATGCCTATTTTTCTAATATTTTTTCACGTACAGTTAGTACTTATTCCCTCGCGAGTATTCGGTTATTACAATTTTTTGTCACACTAACACATAACCATTGAGAACACACATATTTAATAAAATGTAAACAGTTGTAGTTTAAATTACTATTTTAGAAATGCTGTTACAATATTTCAGCTGATCACGTTCATATTTCAGAAATGTGCAGGCTATTAAAAATACATCATATGTGCACCTAAAAAAGTAGAACGGGCTGACATCCATTATCATATTGCATGAACCCTGAATGCTCGAGCATGACTGATAAAGTGAAGAAATGCTATATACCTTCAAGTAAATATTACCTTGCATGAAATGTTGCTGGTGATTTACCTGACATAAAATTTCTATGACAGCTTTTTACTAGACATAAAATATCTTTGTTGGTGGTTTCGTGTATTGAAGGCATTCAGTTATATTGGAGAAAGGGGACGCAGACCATTTTTTATGATTAGGGTGGGTCTGAGTAAACTCAAGCAATTCACCTTCAGACTGAAGAGTCTTTATGGATCACCTACTAGCGTATAATTAATTTACGATTTTACACCGGGGTTAGAAAGGGTATTTTCTACCTAAGCATGGGGTCTACAAGCCGTGAAAAACTTATTGAAAACGATTTTTGTATGGGAGGGATTCCTGACATATGTTTACTTGATGCACTTTGTTTGCCTCACACAGAGACTTTATGTAAGAAACGAGAGCGGATAAATGTTAATTTAATATGTTTAGAAAAGTCCTCAATATGTTGGGCTCATAAAGTATTAGGTGCAAAGGTTTCTTTAAACTAATCAGGCATGAAAGATCCTATATCAATATCACACAGACTTATTTTATCGATCTGAAGAAACCTAGTGATGTAAGTATAGGACTGTCCATATAGTTCAGCAGAAACAATTTATTTTGTTTAGCTTTATCTGAGATTTGAAATTAGGCAGCTGAAGGGGTTAGTGATTTAGACATCGATGTATTAGTCAACATATGTCAATTTCATCAGTTTTGTTTCTACCGAAGATAATTTTATCAACATTTTTTTATATTGAAGATACTACATAAGGAAAGTCTTGTTTGTAAATGAGTTTTGTTTCTCTTTTTGTACGTCAGCAGAAGATCAAATACGGGGAATATATGCAAAGATTTATTGATTTAGTTTCATTATTGCGTTACAGCACATTCAAACTTTTTTTTACTTTCAGACTATAGCCGAGATAATCGACCGAAGAGGATTATTTAATGTATTATTTATTATTAGGATTATTTAATGTATGCGGATTGTAATATTGGCATCCTTTTGTGAAGACTTCATATGAAATTAAATATTGGTGTGACTGAAATTTACGAAAGAAAATAATCATGTCGGGGGAAAACGACGAACGCTTTATTCACGAAGCCCTAGTGGGCTATAATCTTCCAACGGAAGCATTGTGGGAAATGAGACGGGTTCTAGAAAAGAGATGCAGGGTGAAGTTTTCGTTAGGTTTGTCGCCTGAGGGGCGAATGGCTATGCAACAAGCCATGGAAGACGATTCAGGGACAAGAAAAAGCGCAAAAAGTGGGAAATCTAGGAATAGTCGGATGAGTGAAGCGGACGATAAAAGCAAAGGAAAGGACATGAATAAAGAAAAAAGATCTGAGAAATCTGCAGTTAAAAAGCATCTCACATTCTCTGACTCGTTTAAAAGGTCCTCCGTGCGACTTGAAGGTGACATTACAGACGCAAATTATTCTGAGATAAAATTGAAGAAACGTGGAATTGGCGGGAAACCTGAGACAGCCCTTGAGACGATAGAGATCGTGAACCATGATGACAAAGAACGGGATGTTCTCGCCATCGAGGCAACGGCAAAATTAAATTCAATAGAGAAGTGTGAAGTTTGGATGGAGGTCAGTGACCAGTCCGTCCCTGTCACCCCCTCCCCTGAATCATCTCGGTCTGCAAAGATCACTGAAACTTCTAATTCCT